ATATGATTCTGGAATTTCTCCATCAGCAATTGTACGAAAAACAGCAGCAACTTCGTTAGTTCTTTGAGCATTATATCGTCGTCGATCCATACCTGGTCTTAATGTAAATAATAATTGTAATTCTGGCAACAATTCTCCAGATTCTATTTCTAATTATATATAACATTATATGATACGATATAACATTGGATTTTATACTTAGAACCTACTATTCTCAACGTAAAAATTAATGCTTTTGCCATTGCTATCTCCTCTCCATCGTCACTGACAGGATGTGATTGCTTTTGTGCTAAATTATGCATAAGTGTAATTATAGCTTCAGTCGTATTGCCTATCATTTTAGACAGCTGTTCTTGCTGTTTATAAGACTGCTTTATCTTTCGACTTGCAAATTGATCAGGTGATGGAGATCGTAAATTTTTTTTGCAATACCTAATGAGCTTGGCTGACTAATTGGAGATGGTGAAGCTATTGAACTTTCTATTGATGATGGAGTTGACATATTCGAGTCTGAGGTATTATTAAGATCTTGATTCCACAGGGTATTGAAGGATGATACTGATTACGAGGATCAGATGCTGATTGCGATGTTGATTGTAGTGCAGACTGCGATGTTAATTGTAGTGCAGACTGCGATGTTGATTGTAATGCATACCGTGATGTTGGTTGTAATGCAGGCCGTAGTGTTGATGGCGTAATGATGATTGAGTAATTATTGTATTTTGTCGTACAAAATTGCTACACGTTTTACGATGGGCCACATGTGGTGCCAAAAAGAGAAGGGTGTCATATAAGTACCATGTCTTGCGTGGTCTTTTATAAGTGTCATTTCCTGTACCCGATGGTTCATACATTTTCTAAAGGCGATGTTCTCGAGTAAATTGCCCGCGAAGAATTTTCCATTGTTTTTGAACCATAGCTACAAAAAGAATAAATAAAACTTTTTTAATTTAATCTAAAAATTTAATCTAATTTAATCTAAAACCTAACCTAACCTTGAATTATACAACCATATCCATAAAATATGTATAAAATATACATATACTTTACCTTAAAATTAAAAATTTTTTTATTTATTCACCTGACATATTGCAAGCACTTGCAATGGAGCTCCAGGTGTCGGTGACGATGCTTATCTTTATGTTCCTTGCACCTCTTGTCGTATAAACAAGGATGTTGTTGAACAAAATTGGCGAGCAATTCGCTAAAAGCTTCATCCACTGTCTTTTGGTCCACAATTTCGAACTCATTTTCCTTGTCCGACATGTTAATTTATTTTATTATAACTTGGGCACACTGCGTTTACTGTTCGTTACTTCGTGCCGATTATAACTCAAAAAATATCGTCGTCATCGTATTTGATGCGACGTTTCTTCGTTTTCTGTTGCCTGAGATAAAAGTTGACGAACTCCGGAAGAAACGAGAAACACGTGACAAAAAGCGTGATTGTCGGTAAAACAGTGCGCGAAGAGACGAAAAGGCAAAAGGCAAAAAGCATAACGAGACGCAAAGAGCGCATTGCAGATCCAGCTTAAATCCTTTGTTCCTTTTAAATATCGCAGAACACGTTTTGCTGTTTTCCAGTGATCAGGTCCAGGATCTTCATTAAATTGGCTTAAGACACTGAACAGCGTATGTTATGTCCGGACGTGTGGACGTAGCTAAATACATAAGGGAACCTACGAGATTGCGGTAAGGTATACTTGTCATTTCATTGCGTTCCTCCTCATTTTGAGGGCACATTGTTTTTATCAGTTTTATCAAAAGATTGAGTGGTGTCGGCGCTGGTTTACAGTCCTCCATCTTAAATTTTTGAAGAATTTTCTTGATCAAATTTTTTTTATTTATTGTAATGCGATTTAAATGGCGATCATGTTGAAATTTGATGCCAAGACACTGATTTATCGTTCCAAAATCCTTCATCTTAAAAGTTGATAGTTCCCTCTTCTTCTTTAATCTCTTATAACTATCTGATGCTACGATTAAATCATCTACGTAGATGACGATGATGCTGAAGTGTTTCCCACGTTGATAGTACACACAATGGTCCGCAGATAGTCGCTGAAACGACATCTTCTTCAGTTTCTCGTCGAGTTTCATGAACCAACATCTTCCGGATTGTTTCAGCCCATACAGGGCTTATTGAAACGAAAAACTTAGTTTTCGAACGATTTTGGCGCTTCCTTATCACGTACGATTTTTTAGAATAATTCTGGGATTTCCAAATATAATTCTTCTTTTATCTCACCGTTCAAATACGCGCTTACGAAGTCAAGTTGATGCACGATAAGGTTCTTCTCAACAGCCAAAGCCATCACAATCCGTACAGATTCCGCTCGTTCGACTGGAGCAAAAGTCTTGAAATAATCCAGATTTTTCTATTGAAGAGAATCCCTTGGCTACTAAACGTGCCTTTCTTCGTATGCTTGATCCATCCGCGACGAGTTTCGAACACAAGATCCATTTACTCCCCGAGTCTTCTAAGTGAGATATTTCTTTTTTAGAAAATTGTATTTGCTTTTTACGAAATTATATGCGCGCCAACGAGGCTTTTAAGTCAGAGATTTCTTTTTTAAAAATTTGTATTTGCTTTTAACGAAAGATCGGAAGAGCACACGTCT